AAAATATAAAAGAATTATTCCATTATATAATAATAGAAATTATAAAAATATGCAAATTTTTCATTTTACAACGTAATATTGATAATAATAACTGATTTATTATAAAAATATAAAAAAATTTCAATATCTGATTAATATTAGTTTATTATATAGTTATATTACTTATACTAACTATTATATCAGTTAGTTTCGAACTTATATAATGTATAGGTTGTTCAAAAAGTCAGCACCAGTTCCAACCATTCAGATATGAAGTTCTATTAAAAATTCTATATATAGTAGAATGGAAGAAAAATATCGAACAACACAAAATTCAAATGAATTTCAATTTTTATTTGATCATTAAGTGCAGTAATTAAAAATATCAAAATATTGTTTCAACAGAAATGTTGATTTTTTTAAAAAATAATGGCTAAATTATTAAATTAAGAAAAATATTGAATTTTAATTAGAATGCTCTATCCTATCTATTTATCTACTTTATAAAATTTTTTATCATAAAACTTGCGTACTAAACTGCTGAAAAGTGTACTAAAAACTGCTTGAAAGAATCCATTATGTAGTATTAAAAAGTTTCTGGACAAACAGTTATTAGATTAAGAGATAGTAAAATGTCATGAAAAAGAAGGCAATTATTAATATTATTAATATTTCTTGCTTCTATATATTTCACTATGAACTTTTCAAACAATTTAGTTCTTAACAGTTTATGGCACTTATAATTATATAATTATATCATCGAGTAAAAATATTATATGTTGTACAAAGTAATCCTTATATTTTCGTAACGATATAGGATTATCAAAATAATAAATAATATTAACACTTTCATCATTTTATTAATATCTATTAATATTGATATTAATTGTGAATTATAAGACAATATATTTGTCAGAGGAATAGTCTAATAAAAAATGTAGGTATCCAGCGTAACAGATAGTCAACAATGTTGTTAATATAATACATGAAGAATGTAATTATTTCTATTGGATTAAGAGATAAATTACGCTGCTACTACTACTACTATTATTATCACAGATGAGATACATGAGTCTCCTATATTTCCTATATCTCGTCTGTGCTACTACTATTAGTCGAAATAACCCTTTTATAGTTATATAATTGAATAAACTGCTTAATTATATCCTCTAAAATATTTCATGAAAATTATTTTAATAATTTGCAAATAAAAAATATTTATTTATTATTTTTGTCATAAACATGTCTTACATGATTACGCAGTGAATACAGTACAATATCCCTACACCAAAGGTCTAAAATCACTGTTGGTAAATGGTGGTGAATTATCTGATGTATACAAGAATCTTTTATAATTGCTAGGCAGGTATTCGGGAATTCGTCCTTGGTGAAATTGACTTGACGGGTAAGAATCAACAGAGACAGGATAATATTTATCTGAATCTGAATAAAAATTCTCTGGTTTGTCATAGGAAGGTAAATTATAATTAATATGTTCATAATCGTTGTATGTATGTTCATATGAATTTGTAGTAAAATCGATGTGGTTTATGTTTTGTAGATATCCACCGTAGTAATAACCATAAGATGGTGGATTTGTTTGATTATTCATCGTTGAATTTTGCATACTATTCATTGTCATCGAAGTTGTATTGGTAGAAACCATTGTTTTGTTTATAAATTGTCGCTCTGATGTTGCTGACAAATCATTAACATTTTTATCTGTTTTGATAACATTTTTCACTGAACTCTGTTTTGCATTAATTCTTTTTTGCATAATGCACGCAATATCAGGTGATGTGATCTATTAATGAAAAATGAGATATATTATAAATTATTGATTATTTTTTAAAATATTTTTATAACAAAAGTCAGTCCTATAACTATATATGATATATGACTATGTATAATGATTACAATATTATAATGTAGATATATTATAAATATATTATATTATATTATAAATATTATAAATATAATGTAGATATATTATAAATATATATTATAATGTAGATATATTAATTATTTTTTAAAATATTTTTATAACGAAAGTCAGTCCTATAACTATATGTGATATATGACTATGTATAATGATTACAATATATTATACTGTAATTTCATTTGCTACAAAATATTAATTAAGAAAAAATATTATTAAATTATGTGTTAAAGAAAAAATTAATCTCAAAATTCATATAACATATTTATATAAATAATTGAACATTTATATTTATATTATATTTATATTTATATTATTACAACAATATAATTTTCCTATAACGTTTATAAAATTTAAGTTATAAAAATTTATAAAAAGAAAAATAATAATTTTAAACAATTTTTTATTAATTAAAAATAAATTTATAAAAATTTTTTTAATATTTCAGTAATAATTTATAAACACAAAATATCAATTTTTATTGAATGATAGATTTATAAAAAATAAAATTGTCAGATAAATTAAATAATATTAACTAATAAAAGTTATCGAGCATAAATGAAAATTAAATATACTCAAATATATAAATATATTTATATAAAAACGTTCACATTAATGGATATATTTAAATTCTCTAATTTCTATTTATTCATTTTGCCAAATTCTTACCTTTTTTTCCACGTTCCGATCGTCTTTCACTTCCGATTCTTTACTCTTGTCACTATCAGCGTTGCTCGGTGCTCTGATGCTTTCAATTTTCTGTTCATCTTCTACATGCTCATCATTATCGTTTAGCGGATTGGAGTTTAATGTTTGTGTTAATGGTTGGAAATTGTTTTGTATTCCATTGGTTGACTGTAATCGTAGTAAATTCCAAAACGGATAAATTCCTAAAGGAGTGGCAAATATATAAGGAGACGACACATAAGGATAAGGATCATAAATTGCAGCGACTTGAGGTGAAATTCGGGAAGCACCGACGTTCACATTCAACGGTGGCAATTTAGTGTAGGTCTTTATGTCGGATGATGCTGCACCTGCTAAACCACCAACACTTAAACCAGCTAAAAAAGCTAAACTTCTTAAAATTTTAGATCTCCTATTCGAACCGTCAAATTCTGTATTCGCAATTCTTTCCAATTCTTGTAATTTTATCGAGTTCTGTTTCGAATATATATCCATCTGAGAGATTTCTTTCTCTGATGTTTGAACGTCATCGCTGTCAACGGTAGTTATCCCTACTGATCTACGTGTCACTTTTACATTTTCTGTCGTTGCTGTGACTTTATAATCTAAATAAATAATAATAATTAATAACAATCAATGATACAATTCCACCAGAATATAAAAGAACTTATTAATTATTAATATTTAATATAAATGCAAATACTTACTGCTGTAGTTAATAAAGACTACAATTAAGAGCACAAAGATCGAGAAATTCATTGTTGCTGTACGATGTTCTGAATGAGAATGAAAAGAAACTAAGGAACTTATTTGAGAAAATCTAAAGCCTGCGGGTTGCCCTCATCCTTTATCTTGTGAAAGTGTATTTTTTAAATACCGTTAAAAATATGTTAACTACGTTGATCTAGTCTTCTTAGTAGAACATGTGGGTCCTTGTTACATATATTAAATATGCAATTTTTT